GCCAACCTGGTTAGGGAATTCTGGAAATTGAAGTCCACAAGTCTTAAAGTTGCCAAGTTTGGAGGCCCTTGCTCTTGTCTAAACCATGGGTGTCCAAACTTTTGCCTAGGCCTCAATGAATGAAAAAGAATCGTTTGGGCCATATATAAAATATGTAATATCGCATCAACAACTTAGTGGCAGGCGATCCATACTCCAATCAAAAGCTAGGGGGTCCACACAGAACCAGGTACCACATAAATACCACACTCAGAATAGTCCAAAGCACACATTCTGGTAGAAAGACATTACCTCAGGACGGGTTCCAGTATGAGTTTGAAAGTTTGGAAGACTAAAGCTCTGGTCTCAGTGACTAATCTAGGTTGGATCCTGCATAATATAAAATCACACAATAATGTTGAAAGTTTACAATCTTGTGGAACCATATTACTAGCTGTTCAGGGGAGAAGATGACCTGTGGACCACTGGTTGGATATGCCTGCTCTAATCCTTGCAGGTAGTATTTACTTGCTAGATAATATATCTTGAGAACAGCACAGAAGAAGAAACACACACACACACACACACACACATTAAGGTAAATTTTAGTTTGAAGATGCCATCCTCAGCTACAATGCCACCGCAGTTGCATTTCCATATATCAGCAGAAAGTTTCCCCTTGAGACAAGGATCCCTTATGACTCAAACATGCCAGTGGTTAGTCTTTTGTACTCTACAATTGGGACTCAGAAAGGTCTACCTACTACCCAGCTTTGATTTACATTTTTAACAGCGCTCAAAATAGTGTTTTCTGTCCAGAAATACTTCAAAGAGACTTTTCAACTTCTATGAGGAAATTCCCACAAGATTGTTTACACAAAGTCCAGAAGTAGGAAAGAAGTAAACATTCAGCCCCGTTTTGTTAAACTTTGCGTGATTCAGAATGTTAAGCATGTCATGGCTGGCTGGGGAATTCTGGGGGTTGAAGTCCACACAACTTAAAGCTGCCTGAGGTTGAGAAACACTTAACAGTGTTGGATGGGAAGCTGAAAAACATATTAGATGAGGACAGTTGTAAACGACTTCAATGTCACGCGAAGAAACACAATAATTTTTTTTATTTGTTAACTGTGTTGACACCATTAATCTGACTCCCTTATGTAAGGCAACTTTTCTTGTATGGACTACAGGTAGTCCTTGACTTATAACCACAATTGAGCCCAAACTTTCTGTTGTTAAGTGAGACATTTGTTAAGTGAGTTTTGCCCAATTTTATGAACTTTCTTGCCATAGTTGCTAAGTGAATCACTGCAGTTGTTAAGTTAGTAACCTGGTTGTTAAGTGAATCTGGCTTCCCTATTGATTTTGCTTGTCAGAAGGTTGCAAAAGGGGCTCCCATGAACCTGGGACACTGCAACCATCATAAATCAGGACAGATAAACACACAACGATTTTACAGATGGGTTAAAATCAGTCTGAATGGAAACAGAAAGTTGCAGTGAGAAATTGTAGCTGGTTATTTATTTATTTTTATTTATTTGATTTGTCAATCGCTTAAAAGATAATAATACCCTGTTTCTCCAACAATATGGCCTCCCCCAATAGGAAGTCCCAGCATGTTTTATAGGCATGAAATGAAATTAAGCCGCTCCCCCCAAATTAAGGGCTATATTAAAACATGCGAAATGGGGGGAATAGTGGGGGGGCTTGCCGCTAGGAAGTACTTTTGTTGCACACCCGGATATGGTGCTGCCTGCGTTGACCCCAATATGAAGTGCCCCACCAACACCGAGGTCAACATCCAAGCCATCGCTGCCCGCCCGCCCGAAGATGCAAGCAGGGGGGAAATTAAGTCACCCCAGAAAAGACGACCTAGCCATTTTTTCGGGGCTCAAAAAAAAAAAAAAAAAAAGACCCGGCCTTATATGAGAAACACGGTAGGTATAAGTATAAACATGAGCAAGAATACAGGATATAGGTACGAATAATGGGGACAATAGGACTGGAACGATAGGCATGATTGTGCACTTATTCACTCTCCTTAAAGACCTCTTAGGAATGGGGTGGTTAGAATCAATTAAAGATTTTTCAGAAAATGCAAGATAAATTCAGACTTGAAGGAGGCTAAGATAGTAGATCTTTAGATAGATAGATAATTTACACACTGATGTAAATTATTTTTTTACATCAGCGTGTAAAATATTTCCATGATACTCTGGATAAGGGTTACTCAGAAAATTACTGGCCTAACTCAATTACTTATAGATACAAACTTTGCAAGAACCAATAATATGGGACCCAAAATTTGGGTCGCAGACTATCCAAAACATACCTGTGATGACAGAAAAAAATATTCTAGTGATAAATTCTTTCCTTTCCAATTCTTCAGAACACATGATTTTAGATCACTTCTTTCTTTTTTAGCCACTCATGAATTTTCAGCTTGTTTCTAGGAAAATGAAACCAGGAGACCAACGATACTCAAAAGAGTCATAAGGAAATTACAGTATAACCAGTAAGAAAAACTGAAACCAAAAATCTTGCTAGTATTACTAACCGTCACGATTTCAATCTTGTTCAGTATCATGCAATTCTGTGTCTTTTCCTCCTTGAAGACCCAAAGAAAACCCCTTTGCTGAATGTTTCTTTCATTTCAGAATTTCCATTTTATACTCAACTACCTAGTAACTGTGTGTTTTACTAGCAATCAAATGCATTTACCGGTTTGCATAGCATAAAAGCTAAACAGTTTAAAAATTGTAAGTTCTGTGAACAAAACAACTAACAAAGAGCAAAAAAGGTCTATTGTACAAGCTAGGAAAAATGAAATCCTAGTTACTGCAGACAAGAATGAGTTAGTCAGCCTGATTCTGGGCAAGTCTTTCCTAATTCTTAATCACAATGAACTGTCACTTTTAAACTGATGCAAAACAGCAACTTACTATTACAGAGAATAAACTCAAAACACACCACTGTAATCCATATTAAAAGGAAAATAACCTCTGTTTCTGGGGTGGGGTGTTGCACTGCAGATTCCTGACTTCGATTCCTGACTCCCTACAGATTGTTTACACAAAGCCCAGAAGTAGGAAAGAAGTAAACATTCAGCCTCGTTTTGTTAAACTTTGCATGATTCAGAATGTTAAGCATGTCATTCTGGGGACTGAAGTCCACACAACTTAAAGCTGCCTGAGGTTGAGAACACTTAATAGTGCTGGATGGGAAGCTGAAAAACATATTAGATGAAGACAGTTGTAAACGACTTCAATGTCATGCAAAGAAACACAATAATTCCTGACTTCTAAGCCTCGATTCCTGACTTCTAAGAATGCTTTCTTGGCTAAATTTTCAAAAGTTACTTACTTTCTCTTTCCTCTTTTTAGAGCTAAGAGAGATTGGCCTAAAGCAGCGATAACCTTTTCCACAGCGTGTCCCTGATACAATGTGTGCACGACCCTCCCCGCCCCTTGCGTATATGCGTGCAACCCCCACCCCACCCCGGGTGCCCTCGCCCTGCACATGCGTGGTAGATACCCAACGATCGGCTGGTGGGGGGCATGTGTGCATGCGCCGCGGGGCTCTTCCGGGTGAGTGCCACTTCTGGCACTGCGTGCCACTTCTGGCACATGTGCCATAGGTTCGCTATCACAGGCCTAAAGTCATCCAGTTGACTTCCATGCCTAAGACAGAACTAGAACTCACCGTCTCCTGGTTTCTATCCTAGCACACCACTACCCCAATCTATTTTCCTTGGCATTGGTACCCAATGGTTTTTGCATTATCCTGGTGCCCATTCAAGGATCAACGGGAGTTCATTTCATGTAATTTGCAATTTTCTTTTCCCTGCTTTCACTCCCCTATCTCTATCATGTATCCTGAAGTCCATCTGCAATTATCATAATTTCTATGAGTGGCAAAATTCTGGGACTACCATTGGCACCATTTCTGAACTGTTGTCAGTCATGGAGTGTTAAGAAAGCCCTCAATTCTGTCCTAGACAAAAAGTGTGTTAAGTGTGTGTTGGGTAGGGAATTTTGGTTTGTCTCTAGTGATGTTCTTTTGCTCATAAAAGGGGTTGTTTCTTATGGGTGGGGGAATTGCCGATAAATTTTCAGTGGGACAGTGTAGAGCAGGGGTGTCCATCTCACATCATTACATGATACATTGGGACTTTTTTCCTCTTTGCTAAACTGGGTGTGGGCATGGCCAGCACGTGACACATCCATCCCACAGGCCAGGAGTTTGACAGCCCTGGTGCAGAAGAATGGATGAAGACATCTGAATACTTCTTGAAGTTGCTTTTTAATGTCATGTACATTTGTATAGTAATCGTTCAAAGTTACAATGGCACTGAAAAAAGTGACTTATGGCCGTTTTTCACACTTCTGACCCTTGCAGCATCCCCATGATGACATTCAAAATTCATATGGTTGGCAAGTGGTTCACATTTATGACAACTGCAGTATCCTGGGGTCATGTGATCACCTTTTGGGATCTTCTGACAAGCAAAGTTAATGGGAAGCCAGGTTCTCATCCAAGAAACTTTTTCAGTTGCCTTTTGGAAAAAGTACCTTTGGGATAACCACGACCCTGGATGATTTGAGAATGAATTTCTTTCTTTCTTTTTCTTTCTTTCTTTCTTTCTTTCTTTCTTTCTTTCTTTCTTTCTTTCTTTCT